TCAGCTGATCAGGGTATGTGTCTGGCAGGGGGCCGCAGTGATCTGAGCATCTTGTGATGCTCAGATCCAGCTGGTTGGTCAGCTGATCAGGGTGTGTGTCTGGACAGGGGGCTGATCTGAGCATCTTGTAATGCTTGAATCAAGCTGGTCAGCTAATCAAAGTGTTTAAGGCGGGGGGCCACAGTGATTTGAGTATCTTGTGATAGTTGGATCTAGCTTGTCAGCCGATTAGAGTGTTTGTGGGCCTGTAGTGATCTGTCAAAGTATCTTGTGATGCTCAGATCAAGTTGGTTAACTAGCTGACAAGAGTGAAAAAGAAAGAAAAAAAGAAAAAAAGAAAAAAAAAAGTAGAGAAGAGAAGAGAAGAGTAGAGAGTAGAGAGTAGAGAGTAGAGAGTAGAGAGTAGAGAGTAGAGTGAGAAATGTTTCTTCTTCTTCTTTATTTTATTTTATTTTAATTTTTTTCTTTTTCTTTTCTTTCTTTTCTTCCCTGCTCCTAAAACCCCTAAAACATCTATAAAAATTGGAAAAAATTTCCAAATCCCTAACCCGAAGCCCCCAGTTACATAGGATCAGGGGCTATGCCAAAGGGCTCCCACCAGACCTTGTAGTCAGGGTGGTCAATGCAGTTATCCTTCCAAGGATACTATATGGATCGGAGGCATGGTGGTCAGGCCTATAAGGGTTCAGCCAGGCTAGCAGAGTGGAGCAGCTTGACCTGGTTCTATAAAGGGCCCTAAGGGCCGCCCTCCCAGGCTAGTATATGATACCCACCCTGGTCCTATATACTAAGTCCAGGGTCCCCCCAATGAACATCCTTCTAGAGGAAAAAAGGCAGGGTTATGCAAGGAGGGTCCTTAACATCCTTGCTAGTAAGAACTGGGAGCAGCACCCTGTAGCCAGGAGGCTTAAGGTGGCATTAGGAAGAGGGATGAGGGCTGATAGGACAGAGTCTACTAGGCTGGAAGTGATGGTATAGGACAAAGGGTAGGCCCCTTTGAAGCCAGAGAGGGCTAAGGTACTGCCTGAGGCCTAAAGGCCCTATAGCACTGCCTATGACAGGTACTATAAGGTACTGGCCAAGTATATGGGGGAGCTGCCCTGTGAGTGCTATGTGAGGAGGGGCAAGGAGTGTGTCTAGGTAGAGTGGAAGAAGTATCTAGTCAGCCATAATGATCCAGAGCCTAGGTAACCAGGCCTTTAGAACCAGGCCACCGCTAGTCAAGAGTGGTGGGAAGCTAATTGACCAGGGAACTATGCCTACTAGAAGATTAACTTTACTTAGAAGCCCCTGCTAGAGCTTAGGCTCCTATATAAGGCTCTAGTACTCCTCCTCATAGAAAGGACTGGCCATGGGGACTATAGGTCTTACCATGAAAGGTTTAAGTATAACCCAGAGACCTAGAAGCCCTATGCCTATGGCTTATATAAGGAGCTAGGGCATGTCTTTAAGTACCTGCTAAACTCCCAGGCCCTCCTGGCTGATAGAAAAGGGTCCCTGTTATGCTACATATGGCACAATAAGAAGATGCTTATACTCTTCAAAGAGTTTTAGAGTAAGCTTGCCCCTGGAAGAAAATATAGGGGCATACTAGGAGAAGAAAATATCCTGTAGATTATAGAAGAAGAAGCCTGGGCATAGGTGTATTAGGAAGGAGAAGGCTAGGCCTAAGGGCCAGGCCAAGGTTAATCAAAGGAGGCTTTTCTCTTTAGAGTTTTTATATACCTTAGTTAGGGGTGAGATGGAAGAATAGGTAGGACCTTTAATTGGCAATAGGGGTATGTCTTAGGCTAGGTTTCCTTCAAGGGGTGGTGGATCTTCTAGGTTTGAGTTAGCAAGTAGTTAGGGGGGCCTTTGGCCCCCCTACATCCTAGTTACCTATGGCAAGAACCCAGGACATTAAACCAAATCAATTAATCAGACAAAGAAGAATTTAAAGTAGAAGAACTTCTGGATTTATAGTTTAAAAAAAGAATGTTATAGTACCTAATCAAGTGGCTTGGCTATGGACCTATAGACAACTCCTAGGAGCCATATATAGGGCTTTGGTACCTAGAGTTAGTTAAGGATTTCCATCACCTAAATCCTAATAAACCAAAAAGGAAAAATACCCCTAGGAGAAATTAAACCCCCAACCTCTTTAACACTATACAGGACAACTTGTCACATAGGACATGCACAAGTTGCCCTATATACAAGAGCAAAGCACACTACCACTGCGCCATAGGGACAAGATTGTTAAAAACAGCCTGGGTTATAATGACCTATAAAGACCTAATATGCCTAGACATAAGGCATTAATATATAAATCTCCATTTCTCTTATCTCCATTTTTTCCTTATACTATCAGGAAAGAAAGGGTATTTACCCAAGGTCAGAGAAGGAACTAGTAATAGGACCTATGTCATTTAGAAGCTCAGGGTCAAGCCAGGAGGCTAGGGAAAATATGGCTGGAACTACTACTAATAGCATAAATAGCCTATAATATGATAATGGTAGAGTCTATAAAAGTTTTACTATACTTTGCTATCTATAGACAAGAACCTAAACTCTAAAGAGGACCACCCTACAAGGCACCAAGAGCAGGAGTCAGGGCAGATAGAATTTAAGAACTTATAAAGCTCTTGAAAGAAGAACTTAAATATATATGTAAAAGGATAAAGGTCTATTATAATAAACATAGAGTTAAGGGACCAACTTTAGAAGAGGGAGACCATATCTACCTGTTTTCTAGAAATTTAAAGACAAAATGACCAAGCAGGAAGCTTAACTTCAAAAGGTATAGACCATTCTAGATTAAGAAGAAAGTAATAATAACAAACTATAAACTAGACCTACCAAAGACCATAAGGGTCAGGACCAGAGTCTTCCATGTATTACTACTAGAACCAGCATCAAAGAATGTTCTATTGGAAAAAACCCTGGAAGTGGAAGTAGACAAAGAAGAATTTAAAGTAAAGGAAATTCTAGATTTATGGTTTAAGAAAAGAAGGTTGCGGTACCTAGTCAAGTGGCTTGGCTATGGACCTGTAGATAACTCTTAGGAGCCATATATAGAACTCTCATGCCTAGAGTTAGTTGAGGACTTCTACCGCCTAAATCCTAACAAGCCAAAAAAGAAGAGTGCCCCTAGGAGGAATTAAACCCCTGACCTCTTTAACACTAAACCAGATAACTTGCTACATGGACTATGCACAAGTTGCCTGATTCACAAGAGCAAAGCATGCTGCCATTGCACCATAAGGGCAAGATTATTAAAAGTGGCCTAGGTTATAATGACCTATAAAGACCTGACATGCCTAGACATAAGGCAACTTCTAATACAAGAGAGGTATACTTGATGATAAAGAACTTCTACTGGAAGTAGAAGGAGGAGTAAAAGAAGACTTATTACTTTTATACCATAGGAAAGCCTATGTTAAACCAAAATGATAAGAAGAGTATATTTATAAAATATATAAAGCCTAAACTAAAGGACATATAAAAATTGTTAAAACATTAGATTAGTTATGAAATAGTTATAACTTCCTAAAAGTAAAGAGAATAGTAGAAAAGGTAGTATATAACTATAATGTCTATAATAAGACAAAGAACCAAAAACATATATAGTATAGCCTACTAGAACCATTACCTTTCCTAAGATAAAAATAGAGTTCTATCTTAATAGATTAGGTATCAGGGATACCTGACTTAAAGGATCTAGTAATAGGTGTCAAGTATAACCAGATCTGGATCATAGTAGATAGACTTATAAAGTAGGCCTACTTCCTACTAATAAGAAAGGACATGAAAGTAGAGTAACTTACTTACCTTTTTAAAAGAAACTATATTATAATATATTTATAGCCTGATAATATAGTAACAGATAAGGATAAGCTGATTGTCTTTACCTTCTAGCAAGGACTAATGATAAGAATGGCAGTCAAAAGCAAGCTCTTAACTGCCTACCACTTATAAATAGATAGACAAACAGAATAACTTAACTAGACCCTTGAAACATATTTAAAAGCATATGTTAATTTTAAACAAGATAACTGGCTAGAACTACTGCTGATAGCATAACTAGCCTATAATATGATAATGGTAGAGTCTATGAAAGTTTTATTATACTTTACTATCTATAGACAAGAACCTGAACTCTAAAGAGGACCACCCTATAAGGCACCAAGAGCAGGAGTCAGGGCAGATAGAATTTAAGAACTTATAGAGCTCTTGAAAGAAGAACTTGAATATGTATATGAAAGGATAAAGGTCTATTATAATAAACATAGAGTTAAGGGACCAACTTTAGAAGAGGGAGACCATGTCTACCTGTTTTCCAGAAATTTAAAGACAAAATGACCAAGCAGGAAGCTTGACTTTAAAAGGTATAGACCATTCTGGATCAAGAAGAAAGTAGTAATGACAAACTATAAACTAGACCTACCAAAGACCATAAGGGTCAGGACTAGAGTCTTCCATATATTGTTACTAGAACTGGCATTAAAGAATATTCCATTGGAAAAAACCCTAGAAGTAGAAGCAGATAAAGAAGAATTTGAAGTGAAGGAAATTCTAGATTCATGGTTTAAGAAAAGAGTATTATAGTATCTAGTCAAGTGGCTTGGCTATGGACCTGTAGATAACTCTTAGGAGCCATACACAGGACTCTCATGCCTAGAGTTAGTTGAGGACTTCTACTACCTAAATCCTAACAAGCCAAAAAAGAAGAGTACCCCCAGGAGGAATTAAACCCCCAACCTCTTTAATACTAAACCAGACAACTTGCCACATGGACTATATACAAGTTGCCCCATCCACAAAAGCAAAGCATACTACCACTGTACCATAAGGGTAAGATTATTGAACGTGGCCTGGGTTATAATGACCTATGAAGACCTAACATGCCTAGACATAAGGCATTAATATATGAATTTCTATCTTTCCTTATACTATCAGGAAAGTAAGGGTATTTACCTATGGTTAGAGGAGGAACTAGTTAGAAGACCCATATCATTTAGAAGTTCTAGATTGAGCCAGGAAGCCAGAGAGAAGTCCAGAGTAGGAGAAGAAGCATCTATGTGACTTTAAGTAATCTATATGATCTGTGAAATAGGTCATGGCAGATGACTCTACATCTGACCATAACCCATGCAACACCTACCAAGCCTTCTAATCTATCCTAGGCTACCTAGTTACCTTCTCCTTAGCTATAATGGGCGTCAGTGAACCTAATACTAGGCTGGCATGTATTATAATAGAGGATTCTGATTACTTATAGGGGTTCCTACTGGCTTCTGTAACATATCTACAACATGTGTCGCCAGAAGCTGCTGAGAAAGACAGTACCATCACTAGGTTCATTTAGGTTTACACAATCTATCAATCTACCTATAATATATAAGGTTCTGCCTATGGGTAATCCATGCCTTGGCCTGCTTGGCGCTTTGGATCTGCTCCAGGTAGCCAGGGATAGGTATAGGCTATGCTATGATTATAATCTGGCTTATATCCTTCATGACCTTGATGCCGGCCGCCATCTGATTCCATTCCATCCCCCATGGCACCACCTCAGCCACCTCAAAAGGCTCAAAGCAGAATAGGACCTACTCTCCCATCTTCGCCACTGACTATAGAGACCCATTACTATCCAGGTAGGGAAGGGCACTATGCTACTTGAAAAAGTAATATACCAAGATCTCCCAGAGACAGGCCAGGGTTATATGCTTATAGCTGGTCTGGTTAAGGTAGTTGGTGGCTACATGGAAGAGTATTTAAAAGGGTAGCTTCTCTATATGTTTCTAGCTAAGCGGGACATCAATCTTCTCCCATATCCATATAAAGAAAAGCAGCCCATCCTTCAGGATAGTCTTATTCCCCAAGCATAGCTTCACCATCCTCCCTACCTTATAGGCAAGGAGGGTCAGCCTCTTATAGGTAAAGAGGGTACTGCTAGGCTGGGGGGTATATACCCTTCCTTGCCCTGCCTTGTCACTATTAAGTATCTTTATAAGGGCCATCTATTGGTACTGTTGTAGCATGAGGTATATGCACTTCTTAAGGATGAACTCATAGACATCATGCTTGCTATCTATATGGATAATCTCCATCAGTTGGTCTAGGAAGGACCAGACCTCTTAGAACAAAGCGGTTTCCTAGAACCTCCTGATAATATAGAAGTGGGGTATTGTGAGCCTGTTGCTATACTCCTGGGCCACCTTAAGGTTGACCCAGTTGATGGTACCAGGGCTCTAGAAGCTAAAGCCATACCTCTCCATCGTCCCCTATAGGCCAAAGCCAGGCTTCCTATCCCCATTGTCGGGCCGGCATAGTAGGCTGTTGAGGATCCAGGCCTTATTAGGTGGGAGGTAGGAGATAAGGTGGTGGACAGTAAGGCTAAGTAAGGTATGGAGCTGGGCCGTCGCCATAGGGGTGCTGACTTGGCGGCCATAGAGGGCCTGGATGGTATCCATTGCCATGAGGTATTTATGGACATTCCCCTATATAAAGTCCTTGAACTCATTGGTCCTGTGGACAAAGAAGGTAGAGGAGGGAAGTATAAGGTTGTTAATGTCAGCCGATACTGGCTAGGATAGGATGAGTTCAACTTTCTATCATGAGGTCTGAAGCTCTATCTTCCTATAGAACTCTACTAGGAAGGTGGCCCAGCTCTCCTCCTCCTGGCAGATAGCCTGCACTAGGCAGAGGGTGACATGAAACTTAGTATGCCAGCCATAGTATCAGGCCTTTGTATTCTCTATCATATGCTTGACCTAGACCCATGACCAGACATTGGCTAGCTCTGTGGCGGCCTGGCTGTCCTGGGTCCATTAGATCATGTTGAGGCTTTTATAGTTGGCTTTGCTATATCCCAAGTTGGTGATGCCAGGGTGGGTGAAGGGGTAGATCCACTGTGTATCAAAGAGCTCCTTGAAAGGCAAGTAGGTCTATATATAGAGGAGCCTGTCCCTGGTATGTGGATGGTTAGGCTTTGGCTTAGTAGTAAGTGTTATGGTATCTTATAGGAGAGTAATAGGATACTTAGTTACATTGGCCCTCCATATGGTAGGTAGTTGGAACCTGGTAGCTGGGGCCGGCATGTGCCCTATAGAGGACTCCATACCCTCCTCATACCTCCCCTGGTCCTTATACTCCTCCTGCTCCTCCTACTCCTCCTACTCCTCCTACTCTCTCTCCTGCCCCTCCTCCTCCTCTTGCCCCTCCTACCCCTCCTCTACCTAGCCTGGTCTGTCAGGGTCCTTACTTATACCATTAAGGATGAAACTGGCTATATTATATATATAGCAGTGCCTTACCAGGAGGGTTGAACCTTAGGGGAAGTGCCTATCAGAGACTAGTAAGATCTCTAATATAAGATCAATATATTACCAGCTGCTATTACTGATAGACTAGACCTTAATAAAGAGCTTAGACTACTCAGCCTAGAAGTCATCAATATAGGCTAAGATGACCCTTTACCTCTAGGTCTTAAGCTTCAGCCCCTTGCTATTATAGAGGAAGAAGAGGTCGCTAAATAAGTATATGTCAAAGTCAAAATCCAGGCTTAGATCCATCATTTCCTCCTCAAAGAAGATAGTGGTCATCTTATTCCAGACATGGGTATCTTTGTATGGGGTGATGGTGATGCCGATCAGGTGCCCTCTGGCACCCCCTGCCATAGTAGTCTTCTCTAGGGTCACCCTTGACCTAAGCTAGGCCTCTTGGAAGGTGGTAGGGATATGTTAGGAGGTAGAGAGGATGGATTCCTACATTGACATGCTAGAGAGGGCCTGGGAGGAGAGCATTTCTAGGCCAGGGAGTAGTAGCCTCTTATAGAATGCCATATATACCATATCATTAAGGTAGACCAAGCATTTAGGCTAGTATATATATAAGAAGAAGACATAGACTAGGTAGGAGTGGCTACCTATGGTACCAAGCAGTATGTAGGGGATCTTATGGATAGGGATATCCTGCTGTTTTCCATCTACCTTAATGGTATAGGATAGGTAGATGGATTATTATAGGAGCCAGCTAGGCTAGGGGATAATGGCTAGATAGATGGAGGCTTAGAAGGAGTTTAGGTTAGAGAAGATGGTAATAGAGCTGTTAACATCTTTGATGGAGTACTATAGGAGGGGCTTGGAGGGGGCATCCTTGTGGAGGTAGATTTCCTTGTTCTCCTGGAGCCCTGGCAGGCCAAAGAACAGGTGGTGGAGGTAGCTAAAGCTAGGATAGATCTTCCAGTCCCAGCCTAGCTAAAGACCTGGGATATTAGGCTTGCTTTAATAGATGCCAAGCTCCAGGCTTGTTTTAGCATCACTGGGGGGGTGCTTTCCACCTTTGATATTATAGGTATGGCATAGCCCCTGGTGGCACATGCAGGTTTCATAATACCTCTTTTCAGCATAGACATAGGCCACCTCCTGGCATAGGATGACACCAACATGGAGGGCATAGATGATATGGCAGGCCAGTTAACATTGGCAGCCTCAGGCCTCCTGGACCCACCCAAGGATACTACCGGCCAGTGGCAGCTATAAAGACCTACCCTTAGGTCCATGGTAGTCATTAAGCCATACCAAGACATTATCCATGTCTATATCATCCTCCACTCCCTCCTCTTCTTCTATAGCTTCCTTATCATAGTAACTGCTTTCTAAAGACTAACTAGGTGACCCCAAAGAACTATCAGATTCATTCTCAGAAACATCATCAGCTACCTCCCTGCCAGCCTACCTACCACCCTGCCCACTAGTAATCTCCCCGTCATCTAGGTCATTATCAGCCTCTCTCCCATTATGCCATGGTGGGCTAAGGGGGGGAGGTATTATGGGGCATAGCAGGGGGTCAGATGGCCAAGTCTCAGGGGTGGTTTCTGACCTCATGGTATCTTAGGTATTCCTATTTCTGGAAAAAGAAAGAAGGGTTAGACCTATTATTATATATGTCCTATGTAGTGGTAAAAGGTCAGTCAAGAGGGTGGGTTCAGGTTACCTGTTTTTCTTCCTAGGTGGTGGTGGTTGGTCAGGTATGGTTAGGTTAGGCTGTTTAGATAGGTTCTGTTATTAAGACTGGGATAATAACCTAGGGTAGTATAATAAGATGGGGAAGGTTAGTAAGGGATATTTGGTTCTTGGTGGGGGGTTTATCTTGTTGTTGGCCTGGAATGAGGGCCCTGTGGTATTATTGCCTGGCTAGTAGCTGTTCCTGGCAGTTAGGCATGGTGGTGGGGAAGTAGGAGCAGATGGGGGCTTCCATGGTCATGTCTACCTGGCTGGGCCTCTTCTTTACTGGCTTAGCCTTGGCTATGGTGGCAGGAGCTTCTTTATAATATTATATCACTAAATAGATCAGAGAATAATAGTATATTAGTAGAGGTTAAGGGAGGTATGGTAAAGGGAAGGAAGAATGGACTGGTCATAGATAGATAGTAGAAATGTAACCAAAAGCCTAACCTAAAGGGAAAACAGAATAGAGAAGAGGAAGCTTGTATTATAATTATCACTTAGCCAATTAGTCCTGACAGATAACCTTTCTCCTCTTAGGCTATCTTTGGCTAATGGGAAAGGAGATCTGAGCATATTATGATACTTTGGATATAAAATCAAGATAGGGGGGTATAACCATTCATGGCCTATCCTCTCTTTATTTAACAATATGGTAGTGCCTTATGGTACTAACCCCCCCCCCTTACCCTCTTAGCATCAGAGAGGGGGAGGGTACTTAGGGGGTTATTATGGCTGTCTCAGCAGGCAATAACACTCTTGGTAATTTCTTAGCTTTACTAGCTTTCTTATAGGTAGGGAGGAAGGAGTATTGGTGATCCTAGTATCTTACATAATACTTAGATCTA